ATAAACTGAACGAACAAACTAACACTGATACATTGTGTTAGCTTGTTCGGCTGATATTTCTATTCACTCATTCGTCTGTCTGATGAATGAGTGAATAGATGAAATTCCCGTTCGCATGTCCAAGTGTTTCACTGGGCATGTGCTGGAATCTCACAGGCTATCTAGTGTGGGCTGATGACGTGTCCCACAGGGACTTCACCTACCCACACAAAGATGGCGGCGCCCTGAATCAAGATCGGGGCAGAAAATAAGGATTAAAAAATAGGTAATGTGGGGGGCTTAGGGGCATTTGGGGGTGACTAGTGGGTCAATTGGATGTAGTGGAGGCGGGAGGGGGTTAAAAAAAACGGGATTCGGCATGACAGTGCCGCTTTAAGAATGGAGAAACTTACATTCTGCAGAGTGCCACTGCCTTTTTTCCCTTTATGGTATGGGGCTAGGCTAATCCCATTACTGTGTGAAGGGGTTAGGTTATCTACCTGCCATTCATGATAGGACTGCCATGTGATACTCAAACACTATTCAATAGGGAAGTACAGGAGGCAGATAATTGCATGCTATGTGCCGGTTCAAAATATCAAAAAACAAAATGAAGGCATATTCGCTCCGGAGAGAGAACGATTTAGAGATAGTGGAATCCAGCATCAGGCCTGACAAATGGAGAGATCAAATAACAAAGCGGAAAATGAACCATAGATTAGATGAATGTAGATTATGCAGAAGCGAGTGATATTTCTAGTATAAAGATACTGTGCATATTGTTTGGAGGACATTGGCTAAGCGTCTGCTTTGGCAGTAGAGCCTGTAACTATTTTACATTAGCTTCTTATGTGCTAACGGGCTAATCTTTTGTTTTTATTTTGCCGTTAGCACTCAGTGGCATTTTTATTTAATATTAGTTTCCTTGCAAACATCATTGGTAAATCTTGCAGATTCTTACTCAGATATAGGCTACCCTTAACAACGAAATGTTTTATTTCAGGTAATCATAAATTACTTTACAATAGGCTGTTAATCCATGGTACCAATGTCCAACTGTTATTCTACAGATCAATGTTACTGTTGTTTTCTCTGATTTATATATAATATAAAATAAAATAAAATAATAAAAAAAGAGTAAGACATATCATGACAGGTTTTATAATGTCACAATGAGAAATCAGAGGGTTTAGTAGCAATGTGTAGCACAATTTGTATTTCCATCCCTTGGGGGTGATTACTTACTAGGCTTACCTAATTGTGTATTAATAGCTTATAACTGCTCGCTGTTGCTCTCCTTGCTCAGTGTTGCCAGATGTTGTGGTATTACTTGTGACTCATAATCCTATCTACTTACTGTCATGTTTTGCATACATTTTATTGTTGTGATCATACCTCAATAAGGCGAGAGACAGACAGACAGACAAAAAAAAAAAAGATACTGTAAACTTCATTATTATGCAAAAACATACTTTCATAACGAAGTCTACCACTTTCAAAAATAACTGGTGTGAATATCAGAAGGTAATGCGGAGCTGTAAACTTCCCATAGACCTCTGCACAGAATCTTCTCAGTCAACAGAATAAGAAATTTATAAACCTAATTAAGCTGCTTAAAACTTCATTTTGCACACACAAAAAAAAAGTACAATAACACCATGGTTTAGATTGACTTATCAAAAGTGCAAAACAGACTGCCCACAGCACTATTGCATAAGTGGTTGTTTAGAAACTATACCATAGGAAACTATAGGAGATCTTAGACTGCTGATAAGAAGGCTGTTGGAAATGATTGAAAGATGGACTGTTGGTGTATACGAGTAAAAAGATGAGAATGCAGCCTTGTGGCACAATAACAGGCACACATCTAGAGGACATTATGGCAAGATTCAACCAATTGTGTGAGAAGTTCCAGGCTCAGATATACCACCAAACACCTCTGCAATCATCCGATACTTACCGTTTAGCTGGAAATCAGCGACTGAGTTGCTGGCTGGCCCATGGTTTTTGAGGGCGCCAGACGGCTGGCCCCAGGTCCAGGGGGCTGTTCCAGTTTTGGTGGGTGCAAGGCCCAGATCCTAGCAGGTGCAGTATGGCTAGCCTGAGTGGGCACCAGGCAGCTGACTATCTTGGCAGGCACTGCCTTAGGAGGCACAGCAT